AATAAGAGGTATTATATGACATGTGTTTACTATTAGCTCTCAAACGCTTTCATTTTTTACTCCAAACTATTAATAGCGAAAAAATCATAAAATAAAGAGTTTTTAATTTATGCCACATTCATAAGACAGTAGTATTTATTTAACACTTGGTTAAAAACAGCCATTGATTGTACACACATTTGAAAGTAATGTTAATTAAATGTTTAACAAAAGATATTGTTTGTTTGCAAACGTAATGCAATCTCCGATTCCCTCATGTTTTGCAACTGAGAGTTATTTAAGGGGTTTTACTGTTTTGTTGAATGCAAAACCATATTCTCTAATGCATCCAATTCTCTGACCCTCTCTTTACCATTCAATACATAATTATTTACTGAATCATCCATTTGTTTATTTTTAGTCACTATTTAAATGACATTTAACCGCATTTGTATTTTGAGTTCATATTATTATAACAAATAACTTATTATTGAATTCTTTTTCTGAAAAACTATTTTATATTCCCATTCATTTGCTTGATATACATATTGCTGTTTATTTATTAAAATTGATGTTAAATAATGTTGAATTTGTTAATAAACAAGGTTATACTAAATTTGAATCTATTTAGTGGCGCACTAGTTTTAGTTGTGAGTGAAGACTGTGACTTGAGTCCTCCAAACCCGGATTACCACGGCGGAGTCCCAGTGCGCGGAGGGTCGGGCTACGGGTGGGGTAGCGGGGGATACGATGACAGACATCGGGGCCGAAGAGGTGACCAACGCTTGACAAGAGAGGCGATGAGAAAATACATCCGAGAGAAGGATGATCTCAAGATTATTATACTTCACGCAAAAGTGGCGCAGAAGTCGTACGGCAACGAAAAGCGGTTCTTCTGTCCGCCTCCCTGTATATACCTATTAGGCGACGGTTGGGCTAAACGTCAGGAACAGATGATTATGAACGGTGTGTCCGAACAGAACGCAAATCTCTGTGCCTTCATTGGCATTGGAAACTCGGACCAAGAGATGCAACAATTGGACTTCAGTGGCAAAGTATGTCCTGTTGTAAGCATTCACTCTTTCTTTCCCTTTTATACGATTGATTGCACTTTCCATAGAATTGCATGTATTTTTGGTTTTGTTTGGTTTATTAAGATTGCAATTATGCAAACTTTGGGACGAATATTAAGTATTGTTTTGTTAAAAAATAGCATTAATTCAATGTTTAAAATGTGTTTTCAGAACTATTGTGCGGCAAAGACCCTATATATCAGCGATTCTGACAAACGAAAGCATTTCATGCTTTCAGTGAAAATGTTTTACGGCAACGGAGAGGACATCGGAGTCTTCTTCAGCCGACGAATCAAAGTTATCTCAAAGCCATCCAAGAAGAAGCAGTCGCTCAAGAATGCCGATCGTATGTCTCTATTGTTTGGTCTCTATTTGTTGTTGTTATGCATTATTAAAAGCAAAACTAACCGTTTATATTGAATAGTGTGTATCGCTTCTGGAACTAAAGTGGCGCTCTTTAACCGTTTGAGATCCCAAACGGTTAGCACCCGATATCTACACGTAGAGAACGGCAATTTCCACGCCTCCTCTACTCAATGGGGGGCATTCACTATCCATTTGTGTGAGTCATCTCTCATATTAGCATATTTTGAGAAACAATAAGATAACTTGAAAACTATTTTCTATATAATTATTATAATTAAAGCTTGAAATTTAAATCGAATTGCATATTAAAAATTAAATTCATTAACCAGTGGACGAAAACGAGTCGGAATCGGAGGAATTCACTGTAAGGGACGGTTACATCCATTACGGAGCCACTGTTAAACTCGTCTGTTCTGTCACACCCTACCGAGAGGGTTCTGAACACTCTTATAAAAGAAAATAGAGTATAGAATAAAAGTATATTCTTGATTAACAAAATCAAATACCTGTTTACATAAGGAACATTAATAATCCTGATTGGTAATTCATGTGCTTACATTCATTTTTGCTCTCTTTCTTTCTAATGACAGCCAATTGGCCCTTAAATTGAGTTCAAGAACCATATTTAATATAGGAATTAGTTTTATTAACTTTTTGTGATTTTAATTATTACTGTATTATTAATTGCAGCGAATAATAGTTTTAGTTATTTTATTTTTAAAAAGTTTATTTTAACCAAATTATATTTTAGCACAAAAAACTATTGCATATAATATTCTGTCACGGAATATTTAAGCATTAAAATTGACACCAATTCTGGTTTTGAATCTATACATTTATTATTATTATTTTTTGCTTATACTGTGTATTGATTAATCATTAAAGCATTTGATTTTAGTTTTTAGTAAATGTTTAAATTGAGAGTTTATTTGCTAACTAATGAATGATTGATGTATTGAAACGTTGTTTACGCGCAGATAATACGAAAAGTGGACAAACAGACAGCGCTGTTGGATGCGGACGATCCGGTGTCTCAGCTCCACAAATGTGCCTTTTATATGAAAGATACGGAACGCATGTATTTATGTTTATCACAAGAGCGTATAATCCAATTCCAAGCGACGCCGTGTCCTAAAGAGCCCAACAAAGAGATGATCAATGACGGCGCCTCGTGGACCATCATTAGCACCGATAAGGCTGAGTACACCTTCTATGAAAATTAAAGGCAATTCATGTAAAATCAATGATAAAATACTAAACAATTATGGCTTTTAACAGTGTGTTGTATGTAAATTATGTGTTGTATGTTACGTGCATCACATGTTTGCCCGAGCCTTACATTTGCACTCCGGATTAAGCTCTTTATCATAATCTGTATAAAAACATACAAACATATGTAGTTGTGTCTGAGTGATGATTACAGTTTTTCTCACTCCCATCGATGTCTTTGTGTATAATCAAATACTACAACAAATACCCTTAAAAATAATGTAAAAACGGTATTCATGTTAAATGAATAACTGATAATTTACAAAATATGCTTATATTACGGTATATGTAATTATTTAACTTTAATCGCAATGCTTTCCAATGAACTAATATTATGTCATTAAATATGAATTACATATCTCTTCATAATATGAATAAATGAATTCAATTGAGAAAAATGTGTTAAGAATTAAATGAATTGACAATAAAATTAACATTTCTAAAGAAGTGATAAGTTTTGTGTCAATATTTGCCGTAATTTATATGGCATTACATAAACAAATGTGGAGACAATCCCTGCGATGAGTATTTAAGTGACAATTGAGTCAATCTATGGTTAATGTTGTGATTGACGCCAAGAAGCCATTCAATTGATTCCCATCTACTTATTGGCCACCAATTGATTCAACCCTCGTTTCCATTGTCTCATGTCTTCGCTTAATATGTGATCCAAACAAAAGTATTTGTATTTTAAGCCAAAAATTGTTTTTTTTATTTTGTTTTGAAAATCAATTCCCGATTTGTGGCCAAAAATCATTGTCATAATTATCTCTTGAATACATTGACATCTGTTTACTCACATCTCAATGGATCCGAAGAGTGGTTTGGATTATAACTCGTATTCAATGAGCGGAAGTCAATCGAGTTCTTCGCCGTCCATCGAGACCAAGGATTCGCCGTTTAAGTCAATCGCTTCCAACTCTTCGACGACCACCACATCGACAGATAAGACGAAACCCGCGATTGGGTTGCGCTCCAGAAGTGTGGCCACAAATAGTGGGTCTTTGCCGACGTCGGGAACGGAAGTGCCTCTCTTTCCCGGCGAGACTATTGTGGGTAATGTGAGGGCACGAGACGTGACATATCTGTGTCCATACTTCGGGCCGATTCGGGGCTCACTTTACGTCACGAATTATAAGCTGTATTTCAAGAGCGCCGAGAGTGAGGCGGAGAGCGTATCGGTTCCGCTGTGTTGTGTGTCTCGAGTGGAGAAAGTGGGCGGCGCCTCATCGAAGGGCGACCACTCCTACGGCATTGACCTCCTCTGCAAAGACATGCGAAACCTGCGGTTCGCTCACAAACAGGAGAACCACTCGCGACGGGATGTGTTCGAGAAGTTGTCTCAATACGCGTTCCCGCTGTCCAACAAACTGCCGATCTTTGCGTTCGAGTATTCGGCCAAATACTCGGTCGACGGCTGGACTGCTTACGCGCCGATCGCTGAGTACAAGCGCATGGGTTTACCCAACGAGAGCTGGAAGATCACCAAAATCAACGAGAAGTACGAACTCTGCGACACATATCCGGCCGAACTGGCCGTCCCGTCCGCCGCCAACGACGACTACTTGCGATCGGTGGCCAGCTTTCGGAGTCGCGGCCGACTGCCTGTCCTGAGTTGGCTCCACCCCGAAAGTCAGGCCAGTATTACCCGCTGTTCGCAGCCATTGGTCGGTATGACTAACAAACGGAACAGAGACGACGAGCACTACATCCAGACCATTATGGACGCCAACGCCCAGTCGCACAAGATCTTCATAATGGACGCGCGACCCATCGCTAACGCCGTGGCCAACAAAGCGCGCGGCGGAGGCTATGAGAACGAAGAGCTGTACCGAAACGCCGAAATCAATTTCCTGGACATTCATAGCATTCATGTGATGCGCGAAAGTCTGCGTAAACTCAAAGAATTATGTTTCCCAGCGATCGGTGACGAACAGCACTGGTACTCGAATCTCGAATCCACTCATTGGTTAGAACACATCCGATCCATACTCGCCGGCACTCTTCGGATTGTCGACAAAATCGAGAACAACAAGACATCGGTTGTCGTCCACTGTAGCGACGGTTGGGACCGAACCGCGCAACTGACCAGCCTTTCCATGATATTACTCGACCCATACTATCGTACACTCAAAGGGTTCGAAGTGTTGATCGAGAAAGAGTGGATCAGTTTTGGCCATAAGTTCGCGCAACGCATCGGTCACGGAGAGGACAAACACTCGGACGATAACCGGTCGCCGGTGTTCTTGCAGTTCATTGACTGCATTTGGCAAATAAGCAAACAATTCCCGAATGCCTTCGAATTCAACGAATACTTTTTGATCACTATTTTGGATCACTTATACGGCTGTCTTTTCGGCACATTTCTCTGCAACTCTGAATACCAACGACACAAAGAGGAGGTGAAGGCCAAGACTAAGTCGTTGTGGTCTTTCACCAACAGTGAGGACAATATCGACGACTTTAAGAACCCGTTGTACACTAATTACGCCAAACAACATGTGCTGATGCCTGTGGCAAGTCTGAGGCGCATCCAGTTATGGACCGCGTATTTCTGTCGCTGGAATCCGAACCTCAGACCACAAGAACCGATTCAGACCCGCAATAAAGAGTTGCTTCTCATGCGAACTGAGATTAAGAAAAGGGCCGAAGATTTGCACAAAGAGTTGCAAACAAAGTTGACTCGAATGGGAGGCAATGGATCCAATAGTAACGCGACAACCGGTGCCAGCGGTGGCGCAAATGCGGCCATCGCTACAAATGCTTCCGCTTCTGGTGTATCGACGGCTGGAGCGATGGGTCGCATCACTTCAGTCATCTCTATTTAAACAATTGCTTAATAATTGCTTACAATTACAACATTTTCTCTACAATTAATGAAATTCATTCGTGAAATCATTTATATTAACATTTTTGGTGAGTTTTTTAATCCAGTTTTCAATTCTTTATACTTTTATCAATCAATCAAATGATGACATATCCAAAAGAATAGACAAAATATTGCTAAGAATGCATTGATTTTGAATGATTTGTTATAATCTTCTCTCTGAATCCATACAAATAATAATACATTCTTTGATTGATTAGAGAATTGTTTGAATAATTTATAAAATGAATCTTATTTTCTCGTTTTGTATCACAGATATAGTGCCTAAACGACAAACACTTCACTCCAATCAACCATTCGTTCAAAATATTCAGACAATTGTGCAAAATATCGTTATTATTGTTTGAATTGAACTCACGTTTAATTGATATTTTTGTAAATTTTATAGATTTATGTATTTATTTGTCAACATTTTTATTGCTTTAAATGTTTAATAAAAATAATTAATATTTAAATTAAAGCTTATTGTAAGCGATTTATTCAGTTTCGTGTTTCAATAATTTATTGAATCAAACGATACTTGCAATGCGTTCGTAACCAATGATGGGTCAGAAAAGTGAGAATTAATACTCAAATTATGGTAAAATAATAATAAATAACACCATTTGTAATATAAAGAAAATTTTAATTTTAAAAATTGCAATAAAATTTTGCTAAATATAAATCATATTTTGCATAATATTATGTAAAACTGAATCCAACGGGAAATCAATATTCAATGATTAAAAGAATAGTCGTTTTGAGAAAATATACATAAAAGTGATCATTAGATCCCATGATTAAGACCACAACCGATACCATCATTCAATTATAATTAATTTCTCTTCTAATATAACCATCACTTATATATCGTTAATATATTTATATATAAATACTGTAAATATATTGTATAAACTTATATATAATTTATATAAAGATGTTTAGTTTTATTTAATTTAACTAAATCTCAAATTCTGGTCGTTTATAGAGACTTAGCGATGAGTTTTTGAGGTTTTGTTGAAAAGCGTTTCATTAGTTTGTTTTGTATATAACATCGATTCATATCACAGTATTTCAAATATTATAACACAAACAGAATTTGAATGTATTTTATATTAGCAGAGATTTGAGTGGATTATAATGTACTCAAAGGGGCGACTGATGGTGTGTTTGCACGTATGGACTCATGCCTTGTGAGCCGATCCCCAGACTGTGAGATATTGAATGGTTGTTGTGATCGCTTTGCAGTAAGTGATGACTTAATGGTGTGTGATGTGGATGCAGGCCTTGTGACTGAGTCAGACCCGGACGCAGTACGTCGTCCACCGATGGACAGTGAGGCCGAGGCCCGGGCTCTGGTGTGTACGTAAATGTCAATCCAGTGGCGTATATCACGCCATCACTCCTCACGAGCGACACTTGTACTTGAGTCGGCTGTCGGACCCATTGCCAGCCCTCTCGAAACGCCCCGATGTCCGGAACCACACACAGCATACTCTCCTGACATCTGTTCAATCAAATCAAATATTGGTTACAAAATGACCACTCGTTGAGTCAAATGAATGCGTTAAACACAGACCTATACATAGTCTCCGCCTCGACGTCTCCGAACCACACTTTGAGGACAGGGCTTAAGTTCTCTCCGGTCAGCTCAAGCATCGCTACATCGCCGCCACCGTTCAGATTGAGACTATGGACAACAGGCACGGGTGTGACGGGTGAGTGGATGGGACCCATGCCTTCATAGAAGGTGTACTCAGCCTTATCGGTGCTAATGATGGTCCACGAGGCGCCGTCATTGATCATCTCTTTGTTGGGCTCTTTAGGACACGGCGTCGCTTGGAATTGGATTATACGCTCTTGTGATA